GGGGGCGGTCAAACATGTTTTTCACCACACGGTCCTTGGGGATCGTCTAAAAAATCGTCTGCGAATCGTCGCTTCGTCGTCCGCGGCCAAGCAACTTCAAGATCTTGTCCAGCAAGTTATCCGCTTCACCTCGCCAGGTGGCGAGGCACGGGTCCGCGCCGGAGTGATGAATTCCCATAACGCGCGCGGGTGATGCAAAGGCTTGGAACCCAATTGATGGCTTACATAGCAAGTGCTTGGGACTGTGGGAAACATCCATTTTGTTTCTGGTGGTGTGGGTTTCCAGGCTGATATCATTGATATGATGGGCCACAATCTGCATCTGTGCCCTTTTCCTTTCCGGGGCAATCTGTCAAAGAGAGCCGCCTCAGTTCCAAAGGTGGTTTTGGGCATCGCCTTCATCCTTTTTCTCAATGCCTCTACTTCCAAGACTTCTCAAAATACCACCTTCCTTCCTCGCCTCATTTTCCTTCCTTCCACTAAAAAACCTCCTTCAACCCTTGCCCTTGCCCTGACCAAACGGCCTGGCACGGCGGTGGTCTCCAGACTCAAATCGCCCACCACTGCAGCAGCCTTGCCTCAGCCGATCCGTGCATTTCGGAGGGCAGACAGGTCACCCACCCCAAGCCAATCATCTTATAGAACTTGAAAAGGACGCTTCCGGTGAGGTGTTGCAATTTGGCCTGCACTACATCCCTCAATGTCCGGAGGGAAACGATGTGAGGTTGTTGCAATCCCTTCTTAATGAACCATCATCGACCGTTCTGGAAGCACCCGCATGCACCCGCGTTCTCCGGTGCATCAGAACCCTCGGACATTCGTCTCACCAGGTGAGAATTTCGGAGGATTCGTCTCACCTGCGGAACGCGTGGATCTTCATGGATCTTCTTGGGCCGCCAGCTGAAGATGTATCTTCGTCCACCTCTCCCCGTCCACCGCAACACCATCGCAACACCATCGCCGCGCGGCCATCGTTCTTCTCGGCGCCATTGGCCTCCGGGACGGCCTCCGCCATCGCGGCCCCCGGTGCCGGGCTCACGGCGCTCAAAACCGGCTGTGGCTGCGGGAGGAGGTCGGTCCCCGAAGGCCACCGGGTGGTCGGGTGGAAGGATCCAAGGTGCTTTGGATCGTAGGATCCAAATGGCCCGGGTTGTCACCCGAAGTGGTTGCCTGCAGGTTGTTGCAAGATGCTGCAGATCGCAGATCCCTGCCGATCCGAGCAAACACTGGAAACTCTTTCAGCGTTTGGTGGACAGGTCTCCTCAATCCATTGCACTCCACATTGATCAGATGACATACCGAAGCACTGGAGCTACCCAGGATGCAAATGGTACAATGAGCCAGCGGAACTTCCAAAGACTCAGCTTTCCCACCTGGCAGCTGGTCATTTAGACTACCACACTGAAATATACTGAATTATGTCGTAAAGTCAACCAAATCAGCATCATATCCCTGTGAGTCTGTGGGTGTCTCGGGCCTGTGTCTTCAGAAAGCACAAGAGGCAAAAATTGTGGGTTCTCATCCAAAACATTTAGGAACAAACACAAGGAACATACCGAATGCCATGCTACTTGCAGCCACACCCTACTCCACCTCTTCTACTAGCTCCTTCTCTTCGCTCCATCACCTCGCGTCCCCCCTCTTTTTTGCGGCTGCACACGGCGCTTTTCTTATGCGCCAGTGAAGCGCCCGGTCTGTCTCCTGACCACGGCGGCACCCAGTTCGCCCCACGTGTTGCGGAGGGCGCTCCGGCATCCGAAGGAAGTTTCTTTATGTCCAGCTTGGTGTGCCTTTCTGTTATCGTTGGTAGATGTTGGTAACTAGTTGCTATACTGTTGTAGGTACGCGTCCCAATCGAAACCCTCATCCCAACCTGATGATCTGCCTATCTAACCTCGACAGCTTTGCCCCCCCCAAAAAAATGGATAGACGAAACAAAACAAAAGAAAAACGCTGCACCGCCGCGGAATCGAAGAGGCTGGTTACTTGCTCATGCTGCAGGCAAGATCATGGACGTTGTTTACGACTCTCCCTTGGAAGTAGCCATGGTTAGGTGGATGGCATGGCCCCGAGTTTGGATGGCTTTCCACAGTCCATGATTCTTTCAAGGAGTGTTTTTGGCCCTGCCCTTTCTCTGATCTTAGGGTTGATATCGCCCAGTTTCTGGATTGACAAAAAAAAGACTCTGCCACCAACGCGAATGCATTCACCTCGCCGAACACTTCCCATGAATGGCTTTTGGCAACAAAACTGAAGACATAGCTTTCGTTCGCACTCACCAAATCGATAGGACAAGTCAAGTCGAAACATGTCTGATTTCTCTCTACTCGATGTAGCCTTCGGCCACGCACCACGCGCTCGCCTCAGCGTGCTCGGCGCTCTGCTGCTCGATGCTTCCGGATCTCCCGCAACTGGGCGCGGTGCGGTGTGGCGCGGTGCGGTCTGGCGCTCCTCATTGGGGTGCAAGGACCGACCTCTCTGGAGTCTACAAGTGACCTTAACCAGGCCCCATTTGTGACCTCATCGGATGGCCAGTGAATCGTCCGAGTCAAACACTGAGTGCACAGACACTGACCGGTGCACCGATGCGAGACGGTGGAAGGAAAGAAACACCAGTGGGGCCCAACACGCCTAGGTGGGGAATAAACCTCTTCCTGTCCTAGGTGGGGAGGGCCATATCAGTTGGGGAGGGCCATGACTTAAACATGTCCCTGCTCGGTAGTGAATCCGGCGCAATGAACCGATGCTTGGTCAGTTGTCCGAGCTGAATACTTGGATACAGTACTGGATACCTGGATACCTCTTAATATTGACTGTCTCCAGCTTTCAATCGGTGGATAAGAAAGAGTTGTCTCAAAGTTGCAAGTGTGCAGAGGCCTCATCTGTAAAGCAAATGGGAAAATGTTGGCACGTGCTCAATACGTCATCCATTCAAGTCACACGGACGTCTACTTCGCGGACGTCTCTTTTGCGCCGTTCTTCTTGGGGTTCCACGACCCAAACGCCCAAAACGCCTAAAACGCAAGACACCGCATGCGCACGCGCACACGGCCGCGGTTGAGGCCAGCGGCCAAATCCAGATCTCGCACCTGAAACAGGACACGGCTTGGACCAAACCGTTGCAACAGGACAAGGCTTGGGTCAGCTCATGCTGGATACCAGAGATCGTAATGCTTCTTGGCAGGGCCCGGCAGGGTGGGACAAATCGTCTTCCACCCAAAAAGAGACACGAACCCCCAACCGCAGGAATCATTGGAATCTCGAGACACCCAAGGTGCCACCAACCACGCCTCCGCGACGAGACGCGGACCGGACTTGTCGCGTCCGCGCGGCCTGAATCAGCGCCGGATCGTTCGAGGTCTCATCTGCGGGCTCCGCGTTGGAGATGTCGTCTGGCGTGAAGTCACGAGGTGCGAATGGGTATCACAAAACGCCCTGAGATATAGCAGTCTTTCAAATCCTAAAAGGATCCTAGAAAAGTTCTCTTACGGTCTCCTTTGTACCAAGGGACTAGTCATTAGAGATGGCCAATAATCTGTTCAATAGGAGTATTCAACCACATCCGTCATGCCCAGTTGGCGCAATTCACAAAGCTCCAAGTCCCTACGTTCGTTCTGCCCCAGCTCTCCAACAAGTCCCCTGACCCTCATTCATGTCCGTGGGCTCAGCGTTCTCATTGGTGGCAGTCTCCTCGTTGGTGGGAGTCTCTTTGGGCTCGGAATCCTCGTTGGTGCCAGTCTCTTTGGGCTCAGAATCCTCGTTGGACTCTGTCTCGGTTTGCTCAGTGTTCCTCAGCTGTGCCAGAACCAAGGGATTTCTACACATCCAACTCCAACTGGATCCATTCCTTTTTCAGATTGTTTTGCAGGTTATCTTGCAGGATCTTGCACTTCAAAGAAGTCTTCAACAGAACCCTCTCCTTTCCATCGGAAGTGGAAGCCCGGCTAGCCCCTAGACATTCCTCTACCAAGAGTAACAGTTCATTCTTCCAACGTTTCTTCAACTTCCATCTTCAACGGATCTCCACCTTCAAACTGCCCGTCTCACTCGCACTGCTCGCTCGCACTGGGAAACTCTCCGAGATCTGAGCGTCGAGTTCTCGTTCCCGGTGAGCTCCGTCTCGGGGTTGGGCTCCGTCTGCGGGTTGGGCTCCGTCGGCTGAGTCTCGGGGTTGGGCTCCGTCTCGGGCTCCGTCTTGGGCACCGTCGACTCCTGGCGCTGTCGGTGCGTTGGGGGGTCGGAACGGGCCGGAGGTAGAACGGTAGGGCGATTCGAGGATTGACAAAAGAATAAAGGTGGTGTTGACGGAGTGTTCCCCGCAGGAGTTATTTGTGTCTTTATTCTTTTTTCATCCTGGCTTTTTATGGTGGAAGAGGCTGAGGTGCTGCTGATTTCAGTCCACTAATTACTTACAGGTCCTGACTACTAAGTAGCCTTCGAAGCCGAAGAAGGGAACTAACACCGACCAAAACGCTCTCTTGCTCGGGGCTGTGAGATGGGCCCGTAAAGACCAGAAATCTCTCAGGAGGAGTCCGTAAAACCACTTGAAAACCGTAGAAACCTCTACCAGGACCCTCCAACAAGCTGTTTTCGGGTCCCTAACATCTGGGGACTTGTCACCAGGAAACACCTGTTGTTTCTGGATGCTGGTGGTCTTAGTACTATCCTATATTAAGTACATCTTGCGCTGGTCAGTGCGCTGGTCCATGAATTCCTACAGGTCCAGTCTGATGGACCCAGGTGCTTTTGTTTCTTCAAGGTCAGTTCCTGGCCTGTAGGGAATGATCATGACTTACTCACACCTCCCTTGGTTCCACCTGGGTCCGTGCAGGGCACACGGAAAGAGCGGGGTCCAATATTGCCCAACGTCATCTTAGCTATCCAAATCCTGCCGGGTGGTGTTCTTTTTTCCTAGACCACCGAGAACACGAAAGAACTTTGCCATTGCATTCTACCGCGTGTACGGCGCTCGGAGAAGCTCGTCGAAGGAAGTACCGCGCCTCGGAACTCGTCTCCGGGGTGTTGGAGGCTGCTGTCTGTGCAGCCATTTCCTGGGCAGCCTTCTCCGCACCGCCCACCTCCTCCTTGCTGGGGAAGTTCTGCCTGCGCAGAACTGAGCTGGCACACAATCGAACCTTTGTCTCAGTGGCCACGGGGATCCCGCTGGGGATGGCCTTGGCGGCTGATAAACCGGGTGGTCTGCGTGGATGTCTTCAGTGTTGTTTGCACCAGCTGAGCTGGAAGGACAGCGTCTCCAACGAACACCGAGGTCGAACCCACCGGTCTCCAAACGAACAGAACAAGAAGGGTCTGAAAAGGGGGCTCCTTCCTTTACTTCAGTCGGTCAAAATATAGCCTTTGAGCTTTGGGATATGGATTCCATGCTGCCACCCTGAAAGTCTGCATGTTCTTACACCTACCATTCCCACCCCTACACCGTTTACACTACATTGGGGCATCATTGATCATTCCTTCCATCTCCTTCCTTGACCTACAGCTCAGTCGGCCTTTCGACCTCGAAGTGCTTCCATAGGCCACCTGGGAGCGTTTTGGAACGAAACCCATGGGACTTGAAATATGTTTGGACACCATGGACACCCCGAATCACTGAAATAAAACATTGGCTATCAGACACCCAACTTTCAGGGGGCCCTGGTATACAACCAGCAGACTTGAACCAATCTTCTGCTTACTTACCAGGGTTTTGGAAGGTCCAACCCTTGCGAAGGTGTCGGGTTTTTCTTTTTTCGGATGGTAGCCCTGGTCGAAAATGGGGGTATACTTCTCAGCCGACTTTGCTGACAATCCAAGAATTCAGCCGACCTGGGCGTCGACGATATCGCCACTGGCCTACTCACCTCTGCCAGGTAAAATGGTGGTGTTCCTAGTGGAAACAGGTGACAAGATGCAAAAAGAAAGACAGCAGATTGAGGCGGTTGGTATTCGTGTACGTGGTTCCAACTTGCATGACACCTGTTTTGATAGGTTTCCTAGTGCCCCCGGGCCCCAAGGACTCATTTCTGCTACTGACGCGCCTTGGGTCCCTACCCACAGTGATGAGCATCCCCGTCCGTGGCATCCACGTACGGAGTCTGTTCATGATCGGAGAAATGTCCCCAACAGATCCTTAATGTAGACTATTGAAAAATAGAACCACCCAGTTTTTGGAGATACAAAAACCATTCTGGAGACAGGATTTTGTTCATCAACAGTCTACATTACACAACCTGTGGTGCACAGGTGGTGTCTTTCTTCCACCAATTTTCAGATTCGCATCCCTCAAGAGGTCCACAACGAGTTCTCTCAGCCACCTTTGTTCATGTGTTTCACATCTCGCGCACCTGCACCATATGCACACAGAGGCGCGCTGTCACCCCAAAAAACGGAGCAGCCAGTCTCCCCACCCTGTATCATCCAGCCCAGTGGCGGCCGCAGTGTTCATCCAGCTTGGCCTCCCATGGCGGAGACGGTCTTCGTCGAAGCACGGGGTCCAAAACGTGTGACTGGAGGAGTTCGTTTGAAGCATCGAATTTCTCGCATCGCCGGCTTGCCGCTTGGTGTGTTCGGATGGGGTGTCCTCTTCAAGTCATCACAGATGAATCATTTCTGGGGGATCCTGAACGAAGGGAAAGACCTGCACATATTCATGTGTGGTGCCTCATTCACTGCATAGTTGGGGGGCAGTCAGAGTAGTCAATCTTGGAACTTGGGAGAAGATTGAAGAAGACATGTTCCAAAAAGGTTTTAAGCATGTTAAAGCTATGTTCCAAAAACGTCCAAAGACATTCATCAAAGTGGGAAGTCGGTTTCCCCAAATGTGTTCCTTCTCGCTTGGAGGGCAGCTGTTGGCTCGCACAAAGCGGGGCCGTTGGGTCAAGGACCGTCCATGTCAGGACCGTTGTCTTGGTCCGTTCGGACCCGCGGAGCGAGCGTTCCAGATCCGTTGAAGCACACCAGAAAACTCTCCAGACCATCCATGGGACTGGACTAGTTACAATTGACCTCCTTGTATGACCCATCCATGTGGTCAATCTACTCTTCCATTCGATGCCATGTAAAAAGATGTTTGATAGATGTTGATGGGTGATTAATCAAGGGCCATCCTCCATCAACAAACCCAAAATCCTCACCCAAACCCCCTTCGGATCCCTTCGGCTTGATCTCCAAGTCACCAAGCTTCCAGTCTTTCGAGCCTCGATCTCCAGCACCTGCGACAAAAGACTCGGCGTGGGCTTCCGAGCGGAGGGTGCAAAATAGCAGGGTTTTACAAATCGAATTGAAAAGGGATCCATCATGGTCATCCTGTGCTTTCTCATTGGTATGGAATCTCGCGGCCCAACTGAGTGGGTGACATGTTCCATTTCAAATCGCAGCTTTTTTGAAGGCGAATCTCAGGGCCCAAGGAGTCGAGTGAAGCCGTGGGTCGAATCCGAATTTCACGCCATGGACAGACGAGCAAGCACTCGTGACTTACGAACCATGCAGTAGAGTTCATAGATCATAGCGGAAGGCTGGCTTTTTCTGCTGAAAATGGAAACCCAAGCCAACATTCCACAACAGATTCCCTACACTGAAACGCCCAATTGGAAAGAAACACAAAAACAACACTCTGATTGGAAGGAGAAACAGAAGTAGCTATTTGCTACTAGTAACTGGTAATGCCTTTTGTTACTAGTAGCGATGCCCTTGTTACTAGCTACTAGTAGCTTCTTGTTCCTATACTTCCTTCACTTTCGCGGAAGGAAAAACATAGTGACAAGAGAAACTCTGGACAGGGACGGCCTCATTGGGATCACACTGCAAGAGCCAGGCCGCTTGGGCATTGTCCTCATGCGCTCGCTTACGCTCACGCTCGAAGGGCTGGGACGTTCAAAATGACGTGCACGTGGAGGGAGAGTCGATGGCACCAATCCCCGACAGGGTGCCAAGTCGATGGAGCCCCAATCTTTAAAAAGACACGGAAAGGTCCTATCATGTCACATGTCCTATCTACTCTGAAAGCTCTGTGCGGGCGTTGGAATCGTCTCAGGTTCGGGAACTCAACTCCCTGAGGTCCAAAAACCACTTCTCCTTTATTTCCGAACGGTCGAAAACAAAGTGCCAGTACGTACACGCGAAGCACCCCAAAGTACGAAAGGTTTCTCTGGCCACAGGAGATGTTGTATTGACCCCGATGATCTCTTCAGGTGGTCCACTGATAATAACTAGAACTAGGACAGCACCTTCTGCTTCGGTTCTTGGTCCTTTGGCCTGGACCCACACACTGAAAAGGGTCTCCAGTAGACACCGGAAGCGCCCGGGTCAACGGAAATTCGGGGTCCAGGGCCTTCACCCCTCGACCAGACGAATGGGACATACGGCTCGGCCAGACCGAGCCAGACGGAAGGGGAGTGCTGGTGATTTGAGGGGGTCACTTGATCGGTATATCTTCTAGTTCCATGGATCATGGATGGTCTGGGCACTGGTAGGACGCGCGCGCCCTTCTTTGTGTGTCGCGTTTCCGGTGGAAGGGAACAAGCAAGTCTTGCTTCCCAATACCGCATCCTTCGTTTCACCGGTGTTCGGGCGCCCGCGGTGGGCCAAGACACGTGGATCTCCTTGGTACTGGACACCACCATGCTGTAGATGTCGAAGTTTTCGAAGAAGAGCCTGGCCCAAGTGGACTCGGCCACGAGTTGCCATTGCATGGCCCCCCAGGAGCGGATGGGCCACGTCTGCACACATCCGGAGGAAGTGGCAAGCTCGAGACCGCAGGACCCCTGCAAGGATTTGGGAGAAAATGAGCAGATCCTGTCAACCAGGATTAGAGGAATAGGCATTCCTCAGCATCGTTGTGTTCAACGATGGCCTCACACTGACAGGTGATGGCGAGCCTTTCCCCCGCACCGTTTGACCGGACATGCTCCAACGTCGATGCTCAATTGAAGAGAATCGAATCAAAGCTGGAACCCAACTTGCTTCTTGCGCACTTCATGAAATGAACCCAACTTGCTTCAACTCAAACATGTCTTCTTGACAAACTGGCACGCTGTTCAAAGTTTGAAGGTCTATTACCACTTCATTGCATGAGCTCTGATTGAGAACGAAGGTTCCAATGCTGTGAACATGTGTACTTGGCTGGAATCACCTGCAGCCTCAGCCAGTCAATCAAGTGGCATAGCTACTGCAGCCGAGGAGTGTCAAAACAATGTCTTCAGCCCATCAGAGATACAGTGGGACTCCCTCGCATGGAAGTGGAAGCAAGATCTTTCTACAGTGGTCTTCCAAGATCTTCCAAGACCATTTTCCACTTCCATGTTAGTGTGTCCCAGTGTATTCAAACACATCATGAGCGGTGTAGTTGAAACGACTGTGTCAACCATACGAAGCATTGGGTGAAACCGGTGAAACGATAGTCTAGGCCGCCCCAACAAAATGAAGCAATCAATACAATCCATAGAAATCAATACGGTTCCTTTTTGGGTGGATTGGTTAATCCACAGATATCCCAACTCCAATGAAGTGGACCAAGACAAAGCAACATCAAGGAATTGCCCGGTCTTAACCATCTGTTGCTCCGCCTGCGGAACTGGCCCACCATGACATTGTACTTGACCATGCTGCTCTTCACGTGAACATCCTGTGATCCGTAGCGATCCACCGTCGCGAAAACCGTAGCGATCCACTCGGGGAGATCCACCGGGGGGGAGCTCCCGAGTTTGGGGAAGAAGCAAATCACGCATCATTTCAACCACAGGAAACAACCAAGAACGGCAATCGTGTAGCGGTACTGTTTTTCTCGCTCTGAAGAAACCCACCCATGACTTTGGTCCAAGCGGTCCACTCCGGCTTTTCCGCGGGCCACTCCACGTCCCACGTCACGTCCAGCGTGGGGGGCACTCCCTTCCGTGGGTAACGCGGCGATTCGAGCCTTGCGCATGAGCTCCCACGGTTCGACCTTCTCCTCCTCACTCTTCTCCTCGAGCTTCGCCAGTGCTTCCTGACAGATCGAAGCCGACGGCGACCGAGACCCAGGAGATCCAAGCGGTGGCTTCTTCCCCAAGCGGCGGCAGTCCACTTGAGCGGCAGGGAGAGGTGGCGGAACTACTTAGGGACGCCCAGGGACTTCACTCAAGATTCTCAGAGATGACTTCGCGAGGATGCTCAACCCAGGACGCCCAGCTGTTTTACTTCT